GTAAATGACTGGAATAACAGCAAGTTACAGTAACCAGTGATGTCTGAACATTAAGCTCTGGTCTTAAGCATGTTCTTACGTAGTTGCTATCACTGCTATTCTTCAAACATGCCTGGTCATTAATGATAAAATGGACCCCACGGAAATCACGTTTTAATGTTGTTAACAGCATTTCAGAAGGAATTCTTCTGACAGCAGAAGTCAGCTGTTCCATCTGGCCCATTTGAGAATGAAAAAGAAATATTTGCTCACACTTCTGAGGGTCATTTTGGTATAGAAGAGGAAGATAAAAGCAGGAATCTTTTACAGTATGAGTTAGCAAATCAAAGCAAATAGGGATATTCCACTCATGGATAATCCAAAAGAAAAGAGACCATTAAAAGACATATACAGCACTGTTTTTTTCTAGGCAACGTGGTTATAACTCATGCCAACAAACTATATGCTGGCGATTAAAACACAGAACACTCAATACAACTAGAAAAGGAAAGAAAATATTATTTCCAATAAAAGTCAGTGGTAACTGCAGCACCATGGACACTGCATTCAGTGTTTACCAGCACACTTTTTTATTTCAAATATTTCAAGTATATTTCAAAGCATTCAGAAGCAATCATTTCAATCATTCAGAAGGATTCATCTGTTATCATTTCCTCTTGATCTGTAAATTATTAAGAAGCTGTAAATCTGTTTGCTTAATTGTTGACTGTTTAATAAGGGAGGGTTTATTTTTAAAAACACCACTGGAGTCTCCCACTTACTCTTAATACAACGTCTAAAAGGCTCTGTACCACACTCAAGATGATGATGGAGAGAGTAGAGAAGATAAAGCTGATTTCACGACACAGAATTTTTTCAGAAAGGAAATACACTTAATAACAAATAGGAAGCGCTTTTTGTTTGCAATGTAAAACTTCATTTTAGTGCAAGCCCACCATATTAAATCTAAAATGACATCAGTATGTCATTGCAGAAAAGCAATTATTTTATATGTTTAGAGACAAAAGCAATGCTTAACTAATTAAACGTGTTTTCATCACCTCAATAAAGAGGTACATGAAACACGTGGAGAAGAGTCATTGAAACATCAAGAATTATTGTTATGTTGATACAGACAATAACAAGATCACAAATGTGCAATGTTAGCAACATGTTAGAAATACATGTGGTCAGCTGGATCCACAGTAATGCTGAAATTAAACAATTATACAAACACAGGGCAATACCCTTTTGGTAGTTGAGGCTCAGCTACAAGTAGCATCGATTTTTCAGTGCTTTAAAATGCAAATAAAACAAAAAGCCCAACGAAGTGAAGCAGGGAACAGGAGACAATACAGGAACACAACGATTAGAGAGAATTAACCATTGAGAAGTCTAAAGGAGAGAAGTGGTATTGCTGCAGTCCAGTTTTCTACTTCACTTTTACAACAGAACAGGCCACAAGGAGCATTAAACAAAGCACTGAAGGGCCAAGTTTTATCACAAAATCTACTCTGTGTATTGCATTTTTTAAACTGCTACAGATCATTTTATACGTGAGATCCATAACAGCTCATTACACAAACTGCTCTGCTAAATCTGCATCTTCTGTTCATAAGACTTCTCACGTAGCAAGAAAAGGGCAGCCACCCCCCCATACACTGCTGTCTTATTCTATATTTCTGCATGCACCTGCTGCAAATCTGGTTTTTCTATGACATTTGTATAACTTTCCTGTTTGAACATCAGGCCTCAGTGTGCTTTTATTTATTATTTTTGTTTCTTCAAATGGGTAGTGACAGTGGTTAACTGATACGGTAACCTTTCCACCTGAAAGATTTCCCATTTGCAATTCCATAGAAATAGAGCTACATTTAATAAAATATTTATTTCAAAACAGATTTAAAAAACAGTCAGACATATGTCCTGCAAAAAAACACCATACCTGCCTTTTTAGTATTGACACAAAACCAGTTCTATTGAATTCAGTGAGAATATGCACCTACTTTTACCAAAAAAAACTAATTTTTGCATGAAACAGCAGAGCGCTGAAATTTAACTTAAAGGGGACTTTAGGCCTAGAAGCCTAAAGTCCTTTATCACCGAGGGCTGAAAGATGGCATTTACTTTCCAGGACCTAATACAAATGAAGAAAAAAACCTTAACAACCTCATTCATTTTTTTAAGCCACAACAATGCCAAGTGTTTGTCTGTCAGTAACACCGTAGGTACCCCACACTTCTGACATATTTATACTATCTGTCAAAAGGGAATATTTTTCATACTGTCAACTAAAAGTCACTTTTTGTTTGGATGTCTCAAATTAACTGTAAAATTTACTCATGTATTAATGAGTTTCAAAAAATAACATTTATTCTGGAGCCACCTTTCTGTGATAAATGGATAAGCTAATACATATGTTGCAATAAATATATAATTGACCCAGAAATAGTTCTATGAATCCCAAATCCAAACATCCTTAGGTCAAGTCTTCATGCTTCTGTTCCTCTGATGGAGTATGAATTGCTTTCAAGACCTGAAACTGGATACATTCGCACTTAATTGACTTTTCTATAACATAGTTGATGCTGTAATTTTGTCATGCACTTCCATATGGTTGCCTATTTCCGTATCAACAAATCTGAAGCAATCATAATTTTACATGTGCTTTAAGGAAATAAAATGCTTCACAACTGGGGACATCAGAACAAAATACTTCATCCTAGATTTTCTCAGGCACAGCATAACTTTAAAGCCTGAATTAAAAACACACGAAGATACAGACCTGAAATGACTAACCATTTTCACTATACAGAAAGTTATTACGTGGCTTTGCACACAGAGATGTATCTAATGCACAATTCTAAATTTGATCCTTAAATCTATGCCCACGTGTCTCACAGGCAAATCCTAGTAACATCTGAAACTAGCTCATGAATATTTGTTTCCTAGGACTTCGAAATGAAGCACTTGTCTAAAGCTTAAGAAGCATTTGTCTAAATAACTCATGGAAATGGATTGGTCTTCAGCATCCAGCAACACAGGTACCCAGCGACACACAGCAACACAACTTCCTTTTCAATCACCTCAAATGCAAGCAGAATGCACAACTCAACAGCTAAACAAACACTGAAATAATTTTCATTTCAATATTTGGGAATATATGTTGCCTGAATGACAATAGTTCAACTGACCTTACAAAACACAGGGTTTTCACTGTTTGACAAACCCTTATATCTACAGGCTGATCTGGCATTGTTTCAGGCCTTTTAATAAACTGCATACAAAGTAGATGCACTTCTAAGGGAACGGCTCTCAGGCTCTACAACATTTGGGCACCCATGTTTCAAAGAGACACTTCTTAACTAATATTTTATCAGTTTTCCATTTTATCCAATTTGTCCAGCTCTGAATCTAAATGTAAAGTCTTAAAAGAAACAATGCCTTCCACTTTCTTCCACCCCAGTGGAGACTCAATTCAAGCCACATATGGGGACAAGTTTTGTACCATCAGTCATGACTCAGAGCAATCTAGGGAGATTTCAACAAAGATTACAACTAAAAATTAGGAAAGTAAAAAAGAAATATCTAAGTTACTGATAGACTAGGATGTTAATTTGGTACAGTTCTTCAGCTGATACACATTACCTATAACCTAAGGTCTCCCACAAGTAGTTCATAGGAAAAAAAATCTCAGCTGATACACAAGTTGAACTCAAAAGAGATGAAGTATATTATTTGAAAAGTATCAATGAATAATAACTAAATAATTCGCAACCCAAAAAGGACAATGAAAACTCCTAGCATCAAAGCTTCTTTCTCTTGAAGAAAGACTGCATTGTTGTGGTAAATTAAAGTTATAAAAAAGTTATGCAAAGAAAACATCTAGATCTGCTCCATTGTTCTTGTCTATGGCTTGAGGAAATTTATTACTTCCTCCTTCTGCTTGTACCAGTAAGAAATCTTCCAGAACACAAGTCTCCTAAATCCTCTGTCTACAAACAGATGTACATTTGTGTGATTCAGATGAAAATGCAAATACCTTTGTTTAGGGGTAGGGAAAATTCCACCAAAACTTACTCTTTTTTTTTTTTTTTTTAATAAATGCCCTTAGAAAATGGCTATAAAAAGTACATTTGTGTTTCTCTGCTATTTATACTGTATAGAAAGAAGGCCTGAAAATTGGAAGCAGGCATTTCTACATGTTTTGTACGTCAGAAATACAAGAATGCCAAGAATATTCATCTGTGGTTTCATTGTAGAAATCCTCAGATTTCTAGAAACAGGAGAGGAAAAAATGTTTTTCCTCTGCTAGAGGACATACTGTGACATATGTACTATGGTAAATAATAAGCATTTTTCAGAAGTTTGAATTAAACAATGACAGATGATTTATTTTTAAAGGCATCTGAAGAAAAACCTTTTGCAATTCACAAATTTTTAGTGTAATCTGAGAACCTGAAGATAACATTTTAGCATAAAAGACAAGTGGAAAATATTCTTTTAAAAGGAAAAAGACAAAAAAAGTACAGGCCTATTTCAGATCATTTTATACACAATAAAGCAGTAATAATGATCAAACAGAGCTTTTCTTCCAATGTAGAACATCATTTGACCATTAGAGAGGGTGCTGCTGAAATTGTGTTTCATATAAGTAGTATTTAAAATTTGCACTTTACAGCTATTCCACCAGAAAATGGTGGATGGAGTAATATAACTCTCACCAGGCAAGAACTCCCACACATTGTCTCTGTAGAAAAATCTTGGGCATATCAGCCACCAGCTGCCCAGAGACATCAGTTGCAAACTAAAGACTTGTGTCACAACCAAGTGAACTTTTCTTTAGGTTAACATGAAGATTTACTGGCACTCAGAACAGAATACACACCGACTTCAAGGTAAAAAGAGTCTGACGCAAATATCTGAGATAGCCCTATCAGCTCCATATTTCAGCTCCTCCCACCTGAATTGGCTTCTCTTGTCTAAGTCAACTAATGCACAATTCAACAGCCTTGACTTACTGTGAGATGTGAGTTATTGGGGTCAGCAGTGTCTCACCCTCCAGGTCAAGCTCATCAGCAAAGCTGCTGGTCCTGATGATGGGTCCTGTGTTCACATCTAAAAACGTCGGGCTTTTTTTCACTGTGAAAAAACATGCACGTAACAGTTAAACCAAGAGCATTTGACTACCACTCCTTTGGATCTCTAAAATAATGTACATTTTAACAGAATATTGAAAACTGAAGTTACTACCAAAAATTGCAGCGTTCATGAAAACCAAAACTTTTACCCAAAGCAATTCAAGTTCTGGTGAAGATTTAAAACTAATACTTCATTCTTTTTTTTTTGTTCACACTCTACCTCATGTTTTAGTTTATAATACCAGATTCTGGTGTGTAATAACTCTAACTAAAGACCAAGAAACCAGGAGTGTAGGCATTATCATGGTGACCAAGTCAGCTCCTGTCACACACTGTCTGAGCCAGTCTGCTTGCTCCCTCTAAAACTTGGGCAGGAGGATGCCTCATCTTTGGCCTCAGACACAAGAGGATGCCTCATCTTTGGCCTCAGACACAAGACAGGTAGGTGGTAAGATCTTCAGTTCATCCAAGATGAGGTCCTCACTGGGAAGGTTGTTTTATAGAACTTCAGATATCGAAAGTTTTAGTGACAAAGTTATTTGCATGTCATCACTTTCATGCATCCAAAAAATTAGGCAGAGTGTAACGGATTTCATTTTTAAACTCAGGCTCCAAAATTCTGCCAGAGACTAACATTAAGAATAGTAAGTGCTTTTTCCAACATGGTCCTAGTATTTGTTAGTGAAGCCACAAAATCTGCATATAAATAAAACCACTAGTGTGGTTTACATGACTTTAAATGAATTTACAGAGAACAAAACCAGGTTAAATTCTAAATAAATCATAGACAGATTATGACACCTTCATAGAAACATTTGTCTGTGTAGCTGGCTGGAACATTCAATAAAATAATTATAATGTAGTAATTTATAAAAATCTCTACTATATTAAATATAATACTTTTCATTATAAAAGTAAATAATGCCCCACCAAAATGCCACACAAAAGCAGAAATAGATAACCTAAATGTAACTGATACTTAACGAGAACAAAAGTGGGGATATCAGGAAACTTTTTTTTCAATTACAACCATTTTACTCCAGTAATTAGATATCTTCATATGGCAGAAATGGATTTGAACTTTTACAAATATTAAGAAGACAAAATGTTATTATATCATCAGGCACATGGTTGTCCAAAATCACAAATGGAAATCTGTTCTCCAGAAATTGTAATAGGAAAGGATGAACTCTGAAATCACAGTTTCAAATAAATAAACAAATAAGACAAGTGCTAGGAGATACAATTATTACAAGCAGGAGCCACTTGCAACACTTAAAACTGAAAATTCTGTTGTTGGTTTTAGGAAGTGTCAGCTTCAATTTTTGGTTTTAAGACCATATTATTTAATCCCTTTGCTGTAGCCAACATACAAGACAGTGGCTGTGAAACAAGCAAAATAATTCCAGATTCGGATATGCCGCAAAATGCCTTTCAAACAGACCTCTTTTAGCTTTCATTAAATTAATTTTCACTGTTTTCATTTATAGAAGATATAAATAACTTTCCCAGTTTCTAGGAAAGGAGGACTCACAAACTTCTAAGTTTTCCTGACAGCAAGTGATAAAAACTGCTGAACTTAAAACCATTTTGTGTTTGCTGAAAAGTCACCAAACAGTGCTTATGAGAGATACAATACACACACTACACAAATGGATCTGCAGAAACAGCTTTTCTTGGATCATTCACAGTTACTGCTTTTCAGTTTCATGGAAGGGGAGAGAAGGAGTGGCACAATGAAAAAGGAACCAGAATTCATGACTGTGACTCAGCCAATTTGAAAGAGCTCTTATCTGAGCATACAGAGATGAAGAGCTGATTAGTATGAGGCAAACACAGTATCTCCTTCCCTCTATTTTTAAAATTTCTAAGATCATCGTCACCAAGAAAAGAGCCTTAGTGAGAGCTCCCCTGCCACAAAGTGCCTTGAAACAGGGCTCAAGGAAAACACATTATTTTACTTATAAAAATAAATTCATAGTCATTTGAATTTGGAGAAGTCTTTCTTACAAAGCAGTGTTTAAAAAAATTATGTTAAAAAAAAAGACACTAAATTTCTAAATATGAAGGTTAAAGGGAAAAAAAAACAAAGGAAACTTCGGACACTAATTTCCAATGGATAACAATGAGTGAACAGAAACATGAAACAGTGTGTCAAAGGATGGCTGGTATAATTTAGGGGATCTCCAACTTTATTTTCTCTATTTTGCACAAGAACCCCTGCTTTAAAACAGAAATTCTGAACTTTATGGAAGCATTCAAGGTCAGGTTCTGAGCAACCTGAGCTAGTTGAAGACATCCCTGCTCATTGCAGGGAGGTTGGGCTACACACCTTTAAAGGTGCCTTCCAACACAAACCATTGTACAATTCTATGAATCTTCAATTAAGGATTATAAACACAATACAAAGAAATTATTGATATTTTTTCTGTATTATCAACACAACAATTTTATATACAATGTGACGTGTATGTAGGTGCATTTCTGGTAGTGGACTATTTGGATAGAAAGATAGAAAATATTTTACACTTCCTGTTTTGTAAGCACAGACAAAAATAATAAACACTTTAAAGCATTTTTTCATGGAAAAATCTGAGTTTTCATTAATGCATTTACAAAACACCTCTGGTCTGCAGAAAATTACTTTATTTTAACATTTGCAATCTACAACCTGATCAACTTCCAAACGTAAAATTCTACTGAAATGCCTTTTTTTGAAAAACAGCTCTATATTTTCCGTGCCACAGCAGGCAACTCCAGACAGAGCATTGCAAAGATTTAGTAATTAACAAAGGTGATGGATTGATGGAACATGATGGAACAATGAAATATTATGAGCTTTACCTGGAGAGGAAGGAGCACTGGAAGACTGCTGGTCTGCGGAAAAGGATGGCCAGGAGCGCTGACAATCTGAGTCAGAGTAAAGATGCACATGAAACAGAGATAGAAGAGGGGGAAAAAAAAAAAGAAAAAAGCTCCAGACAGGCAGCTGAGGAGATGGAGACATACATAAAATACGCTATGTTCTACCTGACACAAAAAAAAAACTGTGGAAAAGAGTTTGTATGAAACTTTACTAGAGTGCACATTAGCAGAATATTAAATCGCCACTGAGGAGGCATCATTGCCTCTCCAAATCCATTCTTTACAACACTGTCACCTGCTGCAAGACATTCCTCCCTCCATCCCAGTTCCATTTTGAGGAAAGCAATCTATGTTTGCCCCTTTCTTCCTGACTTTTCTGAGTGTCCAGCCTCATACAGGTCAGACGTCTCTTGCTCTGGTTCCTACTGTTCACAGTGCAGCTATCTTCTGGCCAGATTTCAGGGGCTTGGAGAGTCTCAGTGCAAGTACTACATTGGGGAGTACCATTCTTAAACCACAACAGCATGCTCTTGGGTCTTTGTTGAACTGATAAAGCCAGGAGAAAGAAGGAAGGGGGAGAAAGCTGGAAATCTTTCGTTGCCCAAGGATACTGACAGGGATGCCAGATGCAGGATTCAGGAATGTGGAGACTGAAGTGGGCAGTCCATAAATTTACTGAATATGAGAAAGCAGCATATGGATATGTGACTAGTCTTTCTGAAGGCCAAATTAAAGCTGAATGAGCAGCCTTGTATTCTTGTACTTCCTAATTTTTTTTTTCTGAACTTTTGATTTGGCAGCTTCAGTTTTCTGTGCAGGTAATCTTATTGACAGTAAGTACAATTACGCTCTCTCCTCTTTATTTCTTTGAGTTGCTGTGAGAACAGTGCTAGGTAATCTCTCAGGTCCACTGAGCTCAGGTTGCCTGGCTAGGAAATACGAACTGAACCTATGATGGCTGGCAAAGCTCCTCTGATATTTCTCCAAGATGAAAAACAGGTAAAACAGGTGACTTGGTGTCTCTTGTTGCTCTCCTGATTTTGTTCCACCATGCTCACCCCCAACAGAGATGCACCTCTTGGAACACAGGAGAAGAGTGGAAACTGGAAAATGGGCAAATCAGGGGGAGTTAAGAAGGTTCAGTTTGTTTTCGCTGTTTTACCACCTTATTTGCACCTGTGTCCCATGTGGGTTCAGAGGAGAAACTGAACCTTGTATTTTCAGACAATTTGATCTAAGCCTGAGCATCCTTGCACCCGATCACCAAAAAGAAGCCTCTATTGTCCTCTGAATCTATTGGATTCAGAGCAGAAAACTTACAGGTGGCTCACAGCACTCTCACTAAATCACAGAGGTCTTTTGCCCAGGCCTAGCTCCAGTCCTACAATCTTTGGGGAACACTCAATTGTTAAGAAAGTGCCTAAGCAGGCACATTAGAAACATTACAGGACTACATGGTTGCTTAAGTGATCACAGAATCCAGACAAACAGTAAAATAAATTATTTAATTTATGGGTCCCCATTTGTTCACAAATATCTACAGCACATTTTTACAGCATGTACTTCAGAATGCACAGCATTGGGGCTCAAATCTGAAAGCTTTCTTCCACCTAATCTATTTATTTAAAAATTAATTCTCATCTATATGCTCAGCTAACTACTGGATAAGTTATACTTTATTTATAGGCAAATTGTTTTTTTTATTGTTTATATATACATGAGCAATTTTTCTCAAGTATAAGGAACCCACTAGAGATCACCTATTTAAATAAATGAGTGCTCACTTTTCTCTTTGTAATGAAACTGTGGGTGCAATTGTGATTACAAGCGTTAGAATGTACATTTTTGTCTGTCTAGATCTCCTTGGCTGCAGAAGAGTTTTTAGAAACTATATGGCACTAGACACACATGAAAAGCACTGCAAACATTACACTGTCATAAGCTGGCATGCCATAAATAGAATTATTTTCCTCAACTTACCAAGCAATTTTAACATTCCTGTTTGTCCTGTATACTTGTAACAGTTTAGAGAGTAGAACCCAGATAAAAAAGAAAAAAGATAAGCGTCAGAAGAAATTACAGAAAATCCTTCTACTGAAAGCTATAGAGCTGATTTTTGAAATGGCAGTAGTAGGCTGCCAGCAAATCGTATTGTCCTTAATCAGCTTAGAAATTTAATGATAAAAGGTGGAATCTAAGCCTTTGTAAGGTGCTTTCATTTGATTGTTTTGAAGAAAGGTGTCTGTACTCAAATTCTGAGACACACTCAGCTCAGTACTTGTCCACCTTTTAACATTTCTACCACCAGACGAAATTTGCAATCATGCCTTAACAGAGGCCAAGAAAGAGTGGAAAAGTATGGATGATGCAGAAAAACGTAAGAGAAGCACACCAAAAAAGCACATGGAAAGTGAGAGTTTCTGCTGGAATTAAAATATGCCTCATGCCAGCCCACACTACTGTCTTATTTTGAAGGTCATTAAATTTAATCAGGTCAGTCAAATGTTTGAGCAGAAAAAAACATAAGTACTTAAGGTATCTGCAATCAATAAAACACATCTTAAAAATTAAACCTTAATCTTGTTGCCAAAATTTGAGTAATACACATTAAAAACTTCTAATAAAGGCACATTTGTAAAAAAGCCACATTGTAAATTTAGACTTAACTTGGAAGTTCATTAGAGCAAAAAGAAACATAAATAAGCTGTTAATTATAAGATGATTATCAAAGTTCTTTCTTTTTTCCTCACACTGTACAATGGTACAGTGTACAGTGACACTTAATACAGATGGATCCACATTTATCTTAAGTACTTCTGCTTTCAAAAGTTGATTCACAGCCTACTCCACTGAGCAGATGGCAGGAGCACATGATGGTTTCATGTAGCAGGCTATGTTCAGTGCAGTCAAGACATGTCAGTCCTTTTTGGTTCAGGTACAAGCACAATACTAACACATCCTGGGTAAATTTCACATGGAAAGGCTGACAGCTAATCCCTGTAGTTTCAATCAGTTGCAGAATTGGGGAATGTGTGCACCAGCCCCAGAGTCAGTAGCTCTTCTGGCAGGCAGAAATGACAAATGATTTAGTTTGTCTGCAGTGGAGCATGCTCATTAAAATGATGGTTAAATCTCATCCAGACAAGCCAGCAACCAAAATCAAAAAGCAAAGTATTCTTCCTTTAGAATGACAAGAGCTTGTTCTGTCCCTCTCCCCTACGGATATTAAAAAGGACCTGTGTGTAAATCTAATAATAGAAGCCATTACAATTACTGGCATTTTATAATGGAACTCCTTACCAGAATTTTCATACGCTTCAAAATTGAAATGAGGTTTCCTGTCCTCCGCCACATGGTCATAAGTGATGTGTGGTATAGCCAACATCCTATCCGGAGAAGAAGGCCCATTGTCCTTGTCTAACTTAAATTTCTTCTTTTTAACCTAAAAAACCCACATACATTAAATTACTCAAACCAAGCTACATTTAGTTGTCTCTTCAGTAATGTCTTCAATAACAATGCAGTCCCCAATGAGTTATAACCAATTAAAAGAGTTCCTGACCAATTACATTTTCATTATGCTATACTGTGTTTCTCATTATGTTGGCCCCCTCATCCTGCTAAAACTAGAATTCTTCACACTGTCATTACCAAATCCCTTGCCTGCAATAAAAAAAAAAAAAATCTGCTAGTTCTGCAGCAGCTCATATAAATCAAACTATTCTAGAATATCTTTACCATTTTATGGATGCAATAAATCATAACCTCAGCAAAAAGCAAATGGATATATTGCTACTGAACTCAGATGACCCTTGGAAATACAAGGGAAGATTTCTGCACAACATCCTCCCCTTCCATCTTGAGATTACTGTGCAATACTTTTACAATAGAGAGGACAGAGTGTTACTTAATCTAAAGATTCTGATGAAGTTATTTTTTTGTTGCTGTTTTTCAAACAAAATTTTAACTTATGGAATCCGTTGGTATGACTTTTTTTTTCCCTTTCCTTATAGTTTTCCAAACAATAACAGTAAGTTACTGATCGATGTGCCTCAGTTAGGTCATTATTACTCTTTTCCAAACCTACAGATCCATTAAAAAAGTCAAGTTTGGGGAACTGAAGCAAATTAACTTATAGTTTCTGATGTCTATATACTGAAACTGTAAAAACCGAAATGTAAATAAAAATTTGAAACCACATAATAATCTGTAACACAAACAAAACAAATAGTCTCTAGAGCAAATTCAATCTAATTTAAAATTTTTTAATTACTCTAATAGGAAACATTAGTTACTGATACCATCACTGATTTCTTTGGTTTTGGACTGGGTGACAGCAAATGGTAATTCCTGGCAGGTTTTCGAATGTATATTTTCCATGTAGAAGAGTCTGGGTTTTCTGCAGCGTAGCATCTCCATGCAGTCTAGAACAAATGTTTTAAGCAATGGAATAATTAATCAATCACATTAGTACCTCACTGTACAACACAGTAATTTCCAAATATCACGTTAGTCATTCTTTGTTTATTTTTATTCTTGAATTTGCCCACTGGAAACATAAACTCAGCATGGTTTAGAACCCTTATTTAGTAAACACAAACCACACAGTTAGAACTGGGCAAACCAGAAAGAAAGATCAGTCTTTTCAAGTGCAATTTTGTTCTCCTTAGCAACAAACAAATAATGAGAGAGAACTCTAGACTGGATTCAACTTCTTACTCTGCCCCAGTTTCCCTACCTGACTTCCAGCATTTTACCTATTGCATTCTGTGTTTCAGGCTCTTACTCAGAAAGAAACAAGAATTGTTTTTCCATGCCTCACAAGAGCACTTCCAGGAAAAAAAAAGGAATTGTGATGTGATCAGCAGGCTGTATTCATATGAAGAAATGAACCTGATGGCACAATGGAATAGTACCAGTGGCTAACTAGGAACCAAAACCCAAAACCAATCCTCTCTCTTGCCAGCCACAATGATTAAAGTACCACATTCTAAGACAAAAAGGAGGAAAAGCCGGGCTAGGAAACAAGAACAACACACTGCTGTATTCTTTCTTAAATGTCTAAACATATCTGAGTTGATTAATAGTTACTCTCCAAATTAAAAAGGCAGATCCCCACTTGCACACTACATAAAAAAAGGACACATGTATACACAAACAAAATCTAGAGGAGGAAAGGCCAGAAAATGCTAGATGAAAGAAACAAAGCAGGGCAGAATGACAGAGGAAAACAGACAGCAGCTGGAAAGTAAAGGATCAGACAATCACCATATAATTCCCTCCATGGTTAATAGGACACTGGAAGAAACAACTGGCCTCTAGAAGAAAACAAGAAGGAATACAGGGAAAGAAAATCACTTATCTGAGATGTTCTCATCTTGTACTTATTTTGTAAACATCTTGGTTCAAGAATAATCTTCTTAAAAGTTATTTGTAGAACATTTATTACATTGGGCTTTCAGAAATTCAAGACTATGATTAAATCATAATTACTACTATTAAGAACAGGTAGTCAGCAAGTCATTGTCTGTCCTCTACTCCTTAACATTTCTGATGGAGGCAAGTACAACATTCTGGACATGAAGTCTCAGGCTTCCCAATAATTCGGTGTCGATTTCCCAAAAGAATCAGTGGGAACACTAAAAAAATCCATTCTTTATAAAACCATACAATACGAGTCTCACAATTTTTGGCTAATCTCTGGCTATAACCAGAGTCTTTTTCACATTAACTCTGGAACTGTTTAGTTTAAAGCATAAACTTTACAGTTAGCTACTGTTTCCATAAAGATCATGACCTGGAAATCCACATTGACTCATGAAGCCAGAAAAATAAGCCATATGAGAATGCAAAAATGGTATGGCTTAGGTGTACATCTAGTTTTCTTTTAAATTTGATCTCTGTGCTTCTAAAGCTATATGCAGATACTGAGTAGAGGGAGGAAAAAATTAGAAAAACCTAGAATGAAATAATATTAATACTTCTACAGGGTGCAATGCTGGCTCCAAGGAAGTAAAGGATAAAATCTCATTGACCATACTGACACTGAACTGCACCTGCATTTATAATAGACGGGATCAATATTTTCCTGCCTCTAAGTTATCCTACATGAAAAGGCTGATTTTGCAGAATCCCAGCGGTTCTCAGCTACCTATCCTGGAGCTGAAAAGTCCAAACAAGACTTCCTATTTACCATTCTCACTTATTTCTCCTAAATTTGAGATTTTTAAGAATTTATTTGTCCCAAGGAAACCGAAACATATTTGACATTTGTCTTTACAAGCAGCAACTTCTTAAAAGTACAGTTTTACACGAAGCCTGCTTTCTGTTTTTTCACTACTACAAGCATGACAATTCATAACTTTTTCCCCAGGTAAACTGTTTAATAATTACTGGGTAGCCTTCAGTTTTGATTTTAACCAGCTGAATTAAACAGTTTGCACTAATTTGGAAGTGTATTTTTTTGCTCATTAGTTTACATTAAAGGCTGGATTTCCAAAACTTGCATCTGTAACTCCTGTACAGTTTTTAATGGGAATCAGGCATGGAAAAAGTACCAACGGTTTTGGGGAAAAAAAGAAATGACTGTATGCAATATGCAGGAACTCAGTACCTGTATGAGTGAGGCAGCAGCTGGAATTTGACGGTTGAAATGTTTCTGTCTTTGTTTCTGTTGTACCTTTAGGGCAAAGCCTGAACCAAGAATTCCCTGTGGAAAGAAAACACACTTTTTTTTTTTTTTTTTTTTTTTTTTTTTTTTTTTTTTTTTTTAAGGGGAGGAAAGAACCACACATAAACTTGCCAAATTTTGTTGTATTAATAAACTTCTATTCAGCATCATAAAATCCAACTAATTATTTAGAGGAAATGACTTAATACAGCAAAGTTTTTAGACTCAGTTACTATTACTTGCTGAAACGAACAGTGAATGCTACCATGCTCTGATGCAAAGCCTGTTAGATTCAGCTCCTAAAGAGGAAGCAGAAATTATATTTCATACCCTCTAAAAGCCTCACAAATGTTTGTGAAGGGGAATAACAGAATAGGGAAAAATATCAACCTGATGTGCTTAACTTCATTTTTATGAGAAAGTAAGCTTTGGCATGGAATGATTCAGGTCGTGTGGTATGGTAATTTCTATTTCCATATGTTAATCCATGGTGGGAGGGGAGGAGAGAGGATGAAGAAGAGGAAAATGCATATTTCAAAATGGTCAGAACTTCAGTGAGTTTGACACAAACCCACCTAATTCACTCTCAGGACAAGGACTAACAGCATTGGATGGTGTACCACCTGAACTAGACTCCAAATGTAGTGCAGCTATGAAGTCCAAATTTAAGTAAAGACCAAGTCATTTATGTAGTCATTTGCACAGTTACAGACATATTTAACACAAGTTTTATTAACACGGGTAAAAATGAAATCTTCTATAAATCAGCTTACATGATTACACCTACTCATAATTCTTTTTCTACATATAGCAGAAGGATCAGAGTAGCCAGGGATCTTGGCTCAACCTCTAAGAACTGTATTAATCATCAAGTATTTTGAAAGGAACGAGAAATGCCCTTCCTCTTACGTTCATTTAGTAAAGATCAAAGAGGTAATGATGCTCAAACATCACATGTTTGGGAAATGAAGGATCATTTCTAGATCCAGAAGCCATACCAGTTGCATTTAGCCACAAAAATTTCTTTTGACTGTGATCTCAGCCAGATCCCCTTACTTAAAATGGCAACAAGACAGCATGCAACAGATCTTCAAACCCTAAATTCCCCCCTTGGGCCAACTCACAAGAACAACTTAATTCAGTAAAGAAAATCCCACTGATAAAGGGGTGTTTGTTGTTGTTTTGCTTCAACAAAGATTAGGGAAATCTGACAGGCAAACATAAAGCACGGCTGTGAAGGTATGGCTGCCACACAATCATTTATAAAACTCCTCTGCTGGCATTCAAGTCTGATTTTAAAAACCCTACCAAAACAAACAAACAAATAAACACACCACCACCACTCTTCAGTCAAAAAAAGTGGCTTTGGGCATTTTTCATACAAATCATTTCATCTACCAGATCTCTCTTCTAAAATAAATGTGAAAGATATTAGAATGAGGAGGGGAGAAACATACGCTCTAATAGCAAATTGATGCTGGAGAGTTTAAAAAACTACACTTAATTATCCTCCTCTGCAAAAGGTTATGTACCTTTAAAGTAAGCAACTAATTTAAAAAAGCCACTGGAATTTTAGTAGCTATTATTTCACATTGTGAAGAATTTTTGTGAAGGTACTGGCGTAAAGATATTCTCGTCCACCTTGTACTGTCCCCACCACTTCTCTGCCACAACTGCACAAATATCTGCAAACACAATTGTCCTTGTCACTGAACTGAAAAACCTGCAGAAAATAAAATCATTTTAACCACAAGTTTCAGGTGGCACAAACATTTTAAAAGCACAATTCAGGGATATTGCTGAATTTGTGAAAAGCATACCCTTAACTACCCTTGGCACTGAATATTTGTGTTTTCAAACCACAGCTTAGGTTTTGCTGACTGTGAATTTACTCTTGGTACTCAAGTGCCTTGTTTCTTGTTTGAAAGTATTTGGGAACCTGTTTTCAGTGCAAACAAAGTGCCATAACAGTTTTAAAAGGTCAGCTCTAGGTCACTTTTGAAAATGGGACTTTGGCCATGGACAGATGCTAATTTGGCAAAGAACTGCATCAGTGTCCCTGGCTGCTGATTGTTGTCTCTCTGCCAGTGACACCTTTTAGTCAGCTTTTCTAGAGGGAGGATGTGTATGAGAACTCTACAGTTCACCTTGGACCTAATCAATTGAGTAAACTATGAGGGGATGCCTTAAAAAGCCAAAACATCGCCAAGTCGCTGAGTCTAGAAGTAATTAGAAATAACTTCCTTTACACTTCTGAGATGGGCAGAAAAAGTACTTTGAATTAAACATCTTTTTCTCAAAGACATCCCAAACCTAGTGTTGCATACAAATACACTGCATATTTACTTAGTTACTTTCTACAAGCACATATATTTCAAATACAATATAAAATTTTAATACAAAGCTTTCATGATATCAGATTAAACAAAAGGTTAAAGAATCAGTAACAAAAGTTTCCTCTGATGACTAATGAGTCAACACCAAACTGACAGCAAAAGTACAAGATAACCTACCGCAGGTAGTGCAAAAAATGAAATTGCAAATACTGAAAAACAAGATGCAATGGTCTTTCCTATCCAAGTCTGAGGCACTTTATCTCCATAGCCAATAGTTGTAACAGTCACCTGCAAAGAGAAATACAGAGAGTATTACAGCAAGTATTAACATGGTAGTTTGGGGTTGTTGTTCTCTCTTCCTTTTGTATGTATTTTAAAGAAACATTAGCTACGTTCCTAACTCTTCCAGTGACACACTGTGTGAGACTAATGAAGGTAACTCTTCTCTCCTGGTTTGCTTCCCCATCTAATGCCAGATGGAAAAACATAAAGGAAGTTGAATTACAACAAGATACATGTTTAAAATCTTCCAAAGTAAAACCATTAGTTTATGTCTTCATGGCTGAGGCAACTGTACAGCATATGAAGTTACTGGGATATAGGCTGCCTGCCCATGTCACACACTTTCCTAAGGGAAAGGCTGCCAACAGTTCTGAACTGGTGATTTTGTTTATAGGCATGAGATGTTTGCTGAAAGTATTACAGGGTTGTTGCATAAAAAGAGCAAACACATACTGTAACCATGCACTATGCCTGGGGTCAGACATCAAGCGTTCTAGAGATAATATTAGTATAAATAGCAAGAGAAGCTGAAAAATTTCCATGTAGTAAAGATCCTGAAAACAGTCTCATGAATCACCAATTCATATAAAACACTGAGAGCAAGAACAGATAATTTAAAGCACACATGCAGGAAACATCTGCTGAGTTTTGCCTTTCAAAACACTGAAGCACAGATTACCACCACAGTGATGCAGCATAGCAAGGCTTAATAAGTAATTATTTGCATGAGCTCAAGGAAAGAATGTATTTGTTTGAAGCAGAAGGATACATCTGGCATCTGAGAGCAATTTAAATTCACCTATTCCACCAGCTATTTCTGAATTTGGAAACTGGAGAGATTTTTATCTGTGACTTCGAAGAAGGCTAACTAGATTAGAGCATGGGAAACCACACTCTAAAGCAGTTGAAGCTCACCTCAATTACTGGCTGCTCAGAATTTCTTCTGACAATATGGGTCTTCAGCTGCCCAGGACACAGAAGTTTGTCCCACAGTAACATACACAGGCCATTCCCACCCTGTCCTGCAGCTAGTTCACCTACCTGTCTGCTCTAACACACACTACCCAGCAACTGCAGAAATGCAGGCAATGCCCAGGGCAACATCTCTACTTGAGGACAGAAGGGCAGATTTATAGAGGCAAGATGGTTGTTTAGGGGGTGAAGGGATGCAGAACTTGTCTTTGGGGAAATAAAAGCTCATGACGAGAACTTCAGGGAAGGTATGGCTGTCACCCACTTTAACAATTCTCCATTCCTACTAAAAGATGAGAGGAAAATCCTGTGTATGTAAATTTTGACCTGGGATGTACCTCAAACACACAAAGCAAGCCATCCATACTTGAACTGTCCACCCTCCTCTAAGCAAAATCATTATGTGTCAGCCAAACACATCACAAAGGGGCAGCTTTAGCTGCTTGAGGTGGTGATGTTTATTGCAAGTTTATTGCCAGTTGCTGATACTCAAAATATTCAAGAATTGTTTTTTAATTTTTAATACAAGTTTTTAAAATATGGCTTATTTACAAAACTGTTTCATACTCTACAGAAGTACTTTAAATAAGGTAAGTACCCAAGTTCCTGTGCTTGTATTCCCCAAAGTTGTTATTAAAATACCAATTTAATGCAAGACCTGATGAGGGGCTGAAGGGGCAATGTTATCTCCTTACCTACATAAGAGGGTGGCTTAAAAAAAAATTCCGAAGTCTAATTACAATTTCACATTCAAAAATACAGTATAAAAAAAGGAAATATAATTATAGGAAAAGTTACGGCCGCCAATACCTTCTTACAGAAAAGATTATTAGAGAAAATCGTCGTTTATTCCTTCATTTCTGAAAAAAAATTATAAACCCTTGTAACTGAGAAATTTTATCAACTATTCTGTGTTACAGTCTTCAAATCATGTTAATTAAGTAGAAATGTAAAAATAAATAGGTGCTTTTGAGCTGACTAAAGTATAACTGAAGAATAATTCATACATCTAAGAAATTATTGTCTCCCCTTTGCCACCACACCCCTGCCAATCCCTTTTGAATTGGCCTATGTGAATCATCAGTGACACAAAAAAAGTATTTCCTGTGATGTTTAGGAGGGTTTTTAAAAAGCATCTTGGAAATAAGGTTGCAAATTAAAGTGTGCATTTAATTTAACATTTTCCTCTACCCTCTTAACTCTAAACCATCTACAAATTCATTGTAGATCGTTTTCTTTTTCCCCAAAATACATACTGCTGAAACCTTGCATGCCGAGTTTCTGCCCTAAATGATTTTTTACAGCCAGATTATAACCCCCTGAAGAGTACAATACTAATTTCACAATTATAAAATAAGATATTATAATGGAAATACTGACTCAAATTCCACTCTAGCATAGTAAACATGTTGGCATAATGAAATTAAATTGATACAAGAGCTCACACATTAAATTTCATTGAAAAGTAACATGTAAAACAATTGTTTTAATTAGGAACAAAATCATTTTCATCCACTGACTATTTTAGAACTTTGATCGGATGAACATCCTCACAGACTTTGGTATTAAGACTAATGTTGTTCCTATTAAATATGCATCAATAGTCTGAAGGAGAGAATATGAAGCAAAAACCCACACAGGAAGAAGAAATAGTAATGTTCATCTGCACTGAATAGGGAAGGGATTTTAATCTAGGTTATATCAACCTAAAGTGAGTACAGGAAATTAATCAGGTAAGTAAGGATATTCTGTTGATGAAATCCTTACTGTGCGCCTTGCAAAATTTTGGATAGTTACATAGTTATAAAATAGAAGAATGCATGATTCCGAGATATTAAAAAGGCAGACAACACAGCACTGAGGAAGCAAACACAAGGTTAAGGATTAAAAAAGCCAAGCATTAAAGCAAATGAGGGAAAGTCACCTAATAGAAAATACCTTATCTACTTCATTTCTAAATTTACAGTACTGCAACTTCAAAATCAATTGCACTAGGTATTGCTCTGCATACCAGACACGACTCAGAATTTTCTGATCCACTTATAATACTCATCTTGATTAAAGCAAATAATACAAGAGCAACATTCAGCCATATACCAGAAACATTGACCAGCTCCCTGACTCCATTTCAACTGAACTATAGTAAATTTCAGAACAGTCTGAATGCTCTTCTGTACACCTAGGTGTTACAAACACATTAGAAGCCCATTTCTTGACATCTTATTCAGTCAACTGCATTCATGCAGGTTGAATACAATGTACAAACTTTCCAAGCTGCTGAAACCCCAGCAGTACAAGTGCAAACAGATTGATGTCCTGCATTTATTTTACTGTGAAGTATGCTATATAAAGCTAAAAAAAAACCCTACTGATCTTTCTGGATTTTGAATTCTTTTCCAAATGGCAATATTCTTCTTCCTTGTACACATAAAGATGTTCATGATAAGAACAGATTGACACAACTGAAATTCTTCTTTCTGATCCTAGTCACCTCTGTGTGTATTGCAGCACTGAGAAAATACAAGCTACATCCTTCAAATGAACAAGTTAAGAGACTGTTCTACAGGTCACAAATATTTTGAAACACTGGAATTCAAATTGCAATGCAAAGCTGAAAAAAGGACTTCCTTGTCACTACAATTACAAACATGCGAAGGAAATGTTTGGATTCTTCTTGTCCTTAAAATTTCAAAGTCATTTTCATGCAGTTATCATTGCAGGCTCACACCATCATTCTCGATGCAACTGAAGTACATGAACGAGACATAACCACATCTGAAGGACACTGAAACACTTCTAATAACTTAGGATATGGAATGAAATGGAACTGCACATCCAGTTGCAAACACAACAAATAGAATACATTAACTTCAGTGTCATGTCTCCCTAATAATATGTCCTCAGTTTTGCCTAAACATTGCTTTTGGATCTTAGTTTAATACCTCCTCAAGGTGTCATTTTCAGTCATTGCCAGTTCCAAACAAATTATTGCTCACTCTAAATCTCCTAATCAAAAGATGGCCCAAACTAAACATCTATACTTGTGAGATCACAGAGATAAACAAGAAGAGTCTTTTAAAAGACCCATTTCAACAGGAGCACAACTTGTGCTAATTACTGAAATTTAAATGAAAGCTTAATTTTTTTATTATCATTATTTTTTTCTAGATTCCAACATGGAAAATTATCTCTATTTTGAAATACTTTGTTTCATCAAATGAAAAAGAACTGTTAATTCTGTATTCTTCTAGATAAAATTTTTGTTCCTACCTCCTTGTTATCTTTTGATAGAGGTTTAAAGATTTGAGAATTAGGAAAAGAAACTCCAAGAGTGTTCCCTAGATGTAAGAAAATCTACATCTGTACTTTGTAAGTAACAATTTTAAAAGGTTTCTCCACATCTACCCCAAAGATCTTCATTGAATAAGAACAAAATGTAGTTGGAGCTGCTCATGGAGTTAAAGCTCAGAGATGAGAAGGTAGCTGCAAAATGAAGAGATGGCATGCAAAAAGCATTTTAAAATATCTTCATCTTTCAATTGCTGCTCCAACAATTCCTAAAATAACCAACTCCCTCATAAAAACTCAAACTCGTAATTCCAAAAATTATAATTAAAAAAAATAAAAGAATATAATAGGTTTATAGTTGGTATTCTTGACTTGTAAACCACGTAGAGATAAAAAACTTCTGTCAAACACTGAAGTCAGCATACAGTCCTCAATGGCTTTTTTAATTAAGAAGAGGGGGGAAAAAAGGGTTCTGAATAACACAAGATCTCTTTTATGAAGTTTTTTTTAAAACTTATGTGCAACTATTTTATAAATAAAACTAGATGTCTTCTAATTTAGCAAAAGTTTTATGCATGTGAAGTTTCAAGTGGTATTTCCTGCAACTTTTCAGCAAAGTTTTCCCCCAGTTTTGATTTTGAATTTACAATAAGTACATACTGATAGGCTTTGCTAAATAAGACATGGTTTTATGCACGTTTAGAAGTAAGCAAACTTGTAAATTTTTTGTTGAATTTGGTCCTTAGTGAGAAAGCATATCTTCTAATCTATAAAAATTAAAGGCACAAGAAATTCTTAACCAAAGCTGTTACTTGCAGAAAACTGCTTGATTCAATTCAAAGCAACAGGCACAGTGTAATATCCATGCATGGCTATATTCAATAATTGCTTGTGGCAAATAGTGCTCATGATCAAAGAGACTGTTAGCACGGTCCACATAATGGTTCTCCTGAAGGATGTTTGTTCCAGTGTGAAGGTTGGAAATTGTGTACTCATTCAGTGGATATCAAAAGAAGAACTATTCTCACTTGTTCTTGGGCATGATTGAAATGAATGCTAAAGGAGGGGGGAGGCTTCAGAAAGGTGTGAGAAAAACCCAACAACAACAAAACAAAAACCCATAAACAAAACACTGAAATCCACAAAGCCCCCAGAGGCAGTGAGCAGGTAACATTCTCTGAAGATAGTTGTCTCTGATAGATTCAATGAGAGCAATTATAATATTTTTTTAAAGCATCTTTTTTTAATTTTGTTTTTAATTAATTCATGGTTTTATTGCCCCTCTATATTAGGTCTTTAAGACTGTCAGTCTGGACATGAAGGATGACATAAGCAGACTAATTTTGAATACTGGCACTGGGGAGCTGAAAGATGCATCACGTTACTTGTATTTTACTTGCTAACACTAAATTTGTCTTTTGAAAGACATGCAGATATGCAGCCACTGGCAGAATTATTTATACAACTTGCACTGCATTCAAAACCAGCAATAATATAGACAAATCTTTATGCCATAAGATAACCTTAGGTTTCTTCAAGAAGCCCATAACTGACTTGGTGAATAGCTACAGCCCAGAGTTCTCAAGGAAATTCAAATGAAGTCCAGGAGGCCGATTTACATATGAAAATGGAAAAGCAATACAGATTTATAAATAACAACGACAATGAAGAACATTTAATTAGAAGTTATGAACCCTATGGGTATGCCTATAGTCAGCAAAGCACAGTAATATAAAAATACACAATTCCAGATGCAGTTTAGTTGCGGTAACACAGACCTTTTATATGGTTTATTTCAGCTGTATTACATGTTCTATTACTGCTGCCCAAAGAACTTGTTTAGCCGTGTACACATACACCGAGATAACAACAAAGTGCAACACTGTAGAGTGAGAAAAGGGCTGTGAAAACACTAACGAGGACTTTCTGAAGCATTATCTACTAGGTAAGGCAAGTGCACTTTCAGAGAAGTGAGATCAGCTGCGTTGCCAGATGGATCACCCATCTATGATAGTGTATGAGACAGGAGCTGTGAATTATCCTCTTCCACATGTTCAGTTCAAAACAGACTGAGGCAGGTTTTCAGTGACTGGTGTTTGAGCGATTCAGAAAATTCTGGCTAGAACATAACCAACACTTTTGTGATTTAACACTTTGAAAAGGCTTTTGTATGAGTTTAGACCTTCATTAGGAAAACTTCTTGTGACCTCCCAGTTATGCATAGAATCCTAGAATGGTTTGGGGTGGAAGGAACCTTAAACACTACTTAATTCCAACCTTCCACTAGACCAGGTTGTTCAGAGCTCCATCCAACCTGGACCTGAGCACTTCCAGGGATGGGGCATCCACAACTTCTCTGGGCTAACTTCTTCACTATCCTAACTTTATAGGGCTCTTTCCTAGCAGAAAGCATGAAGAATATTACAGTATCAAAACACCAGATATGGATGGAATCGAATCCATTTCAGTTTTGTTCTGCTAAATCTTTTTTAGCAGTTAGCGGAGACATATCAGAGCAGGAAAAGGACACTAAATTCTACTTTTAATATTAAAGAAATTACACTATGTGTTCATTGAATGGAGTCTCACACCTGAAGTGGAATGTTGCAACACAATAGAAGCTATAACAGAGAAAGAATATTATGATAATTAAATTTATTGATTAAATAAGTTTACTGCAATTAGTAAGAAAAAATAACTGGCATGCCTAACTGAGCAATAATTCCCTGAAAGGAGAATATTTCAATATCCTGACAGATCGTGTTGCTTCTGTGGAAGGTTTACTGTATTTTTAGTCAGCCAATCTGGTCTGTCACATACTCAATTTTTAATGGCTACGCCAATGACAGCATGTGTTTTTAAATGCAGCTACATCTGCCACTGTTAATTACTGAGTCATCTGACCGCTGTAGTGGAAAATAAAAATGCCATAATGACATGAAAGCATTGAAAAAGCTACTTGACAGAAAGCCACTTCCCTGTGCTACACATTAAGTCCTCTGATCCTAAGAAAGCCTGTATTTAACCATGGCAGACAGCAAGAAGAAAGAATCCTGCAGCAGATCACAGTAGCAAAACAATGCAACAAAATCTGTTGTATTCAAAAAGGGCTACATATGCATTTCAGCACCAGGACTTGCTCATCAATAGATCCTGAAACAGTAAGTGGTACTGTTTGTAGAGAGAAGACTATATTAGCACAGACGCACAGAACTTTATTAAAAATATTTCTTAATATATATTCTTATATATATATTTTTTTTAATTAGTGAAACAGAGGTGTTAGCCCTATCATTCTTGTACATATGACTTATTATAGTCTTATTTTTAACAAAAAAAAATAAAGGAAAACAATGCCTTTTGATTTAAAGCAACACAGAAAAAGCTCTAGAAGAACAGCACATTTTGAAAATGCAAGCATAGTATCATTAGTGATGCCTATGCATTTTAAAGATCTGTAGCACTTAAAATGATGATGGTTTGTTTTATTAAGGTAATAGAATTAAAGCAGACAAAAACAAGTCATTGCTTGAATGCTAATGATAACGAAAAACAGCTTCCAGAAAGTACCTTTCTTTGAACTGTACTATGAAAAGGAAAGGGAAACAATTACAGACAGGAAATCCCAGAACAAAACAGCCAACCCAGTATGTGTGTATCATGTGAGAAAATAAAAAGAGGGAATTGTTACTATTGCAGAAGAAACAAAATTAAAATGTTGACAAAAATATAATCCCAGAGTAGAGCTGCCTCACTATAGTGAGTACACATAATAAATGAAAACAGAGAGACAACTGCCACTAGCAACATCAAGAAAGTAGAACTTTATTAGCAGAGCTAAAAATACATCTACACCAAAGTGTGGCAGCACCTCAGAGAAACCAAAGAACTCTCTAAACAAGATGGTGCGTGGATACAGCACAGGCAAATGCCAAATAAGGATACTATGTGGCTTCCAAAGCAATATAAACACTTTAGAAGAGTCCTCCTGTAACTGGATTTCCCAAGTATCTTAGATGCTTCTTGCTCTGGAATTAGTCCCTTAATGAACTGGGAATTACCGTCACAGATCAAATTGCAAAACATAGATATCTGCTTTAGGGGAAAAAAAAAACAAACAACAACAAAGACGGGAAAAAGAAAGCCTAAACACGACCCCCCAGAAAAACCCCAACTGTGATTTAGGAAGACTTACCATCTTAGACAGTCGAACACTACCATGAGAAAGGTAGCAAGAAGTAATCACTGTAACAGTAGGGAAGAGAGGATAAAAAATAGAACGCATGTTTCTAAATTTTTGATACATAATTTGATCATTTTGGATCTCATAAGACTACAAACACCAAATGAAACTCCTGATCATCTACAGTATTTTCATAGTTTCACAGAATTACAAAACCAGAAAGCGTATTGAAGCAGTAAGAAGCCATTTCAAAGTGATGTTCTTACTCCACACTTGCTTGAATTTTACTCCACACTTGCTTGAATTTTACTCCACACTGGACAATGTTAACCACTTTCAGCACATGTGAAATTGCTATACTTACTACTCCCCACCACAGGGCATCTGCATAGCTGCCAAACTCTGTTTCTCCAGAATCATTTACGGCATCTTTCTCGGCCAGGTATACAAAATAAGAGGAAAAAATCAGGCCCAGAAATCCAATGTAGAGAGTAGTTATCAGTTCCTGCAAAGAGAATAAAAATAATGGCATTATGACATCATTGAGATGCTTAAATTACCTAACACCAATGGGTTATAAAAGATAATTGGAAGAGAAGAATGCAATTTCAGCAATTGATAAACATTGACAGTGACTGTTGGCTGGGCAATTTTTAACAAAAATCCACTGAGCTCAACATTGAAAGTATTTACAGCACAGCTGATGATTTAGCCCAGCATATGCATTGCCAACAGGCAGTCAAAACAACCTCTTCACAAGCACCAAACCACTTCTGGTCCCCAAAAAGTACTTGGATAACTTTTTCAAACAATGCCAGATTCAAAACAACTTCGGAATTTAGATACATATTCTAAGAAATATTCAGACTAGTTTTCACAAGTGTCATTTTCTGTTGTTATAGCCAACTACAAGTCAAAATCTGCCCAAGTCAGTGAATATTTTAGGAATTTTTTTCCCCTTGAACAAGGCAGAACAACCATACTTGGTTAAAATAAAGTATAACCAACTATATTAAGTATAACTGACATCATCAGCGTATCTGTATATAGGTCATTCTGAATCTAAGGACATTTGCATCAACTGTGTCATTCCTCAGCCTGATCAATACCTGTTCATACCTGTCTGTGTATGAACACCACTGATCCCAGCAGCCTCCACGTGCCCCCCTGACGATCAACATGTAGCATTCGTAAAATCTGCAGAAAACGGATGCCCCTGGAACAAAATTTTAGAATTAATGAAGACACTAAAGATGCTAGAGAAGAAATAGAGAGGGGAAGTCTGTGTCTTCCAAAGGACCATTTTAAGAGACATATAGTATTTTATGTTAGACTTGGCAGCCTGTCTCGTTTCACTCCATTCACTGATCTTTCATCTTGTTTGTTACGAAGACAGCCGGGAAAGATTGTGCAAGGGAAGGACTGACCTTTCTACATAAGGCTAGTAAGGATAACTCAAGGATTCAGGATTTTGGACACAAACTGAGAATGCTCTAGAAATCATTCATCAATGCATATTTGACCTGCTTACCAGGATGGGAAACAACATGCAGAATCAGCTAATTAAAGAGCTGATTTCCTTACCTTTGAGGAATTTCATAAGCAATTTGAACCAGAGAGTCCAATAATATTTTAAAATACCCTTTATGGGAGTCACTGCAATCCTTGGGTGTTCCTGCAGCTAATGTGCAGAGCACAGTACAGTGCCATGTACTTTATTGTTCAAGAAAACCAAGTGATGTGACCTTCCCGAGCACAGGGTGGATTCAGGAATTCACAACCACTAATCCCAGGCATTTTATGAAGAGGTAGCTTGAAGACATCAGAGATATGAAGCACGAAAGGGTTGCTATAAAACTGAGCCACAAAACTAAACCAGGATTTGGGTAGAACCCAACTTGGCGGGGAAAGGGGGCAGGGGTATGTGCATCTCTGCCCCCACCAGTCATAAATGCATTACAACAAGATTTTATTTTCTCTGCACTTAGTGGGATCATTGTTTCACACCTGTACATGACTGGTGATCTGCTCTGTTACAGGACACTGACCAGAGATTTGTTTTCTCCTGCAAGAACTGAAGCAGGAGGTAAAAAAAAAGAACCCCACCTTACTCAGATAGCACTAATTTCTTTTATTGCTTATAATTACCTGATAGCTGAGGTTGCAAAGACTTGACCTTTAGAGCCCACACAAAGAACTATCATGGAAGCAACAACAACAATTAAATCTGGAAAATAAAAGTCAATTGAAAAAATTAGTTAGTAGCATCTTGCAATATTTCTGCAAGGATGTTACTAGAACCAATTCCAATATTACTTTAACAAATTGAACAATCACTCCTAATCATATACCAAGAGATCTCTATTGTACCATGTAAAGAAAATATAATTTTGAGATATGACAGAAAAATTTTACTGGGACGGGTCTAAGGTGGCCACAGTCTAGATGAATTAAGAGTTACTCTAATGCAGTCTGCAATCCCTATTAGCAGGAGGAATTTCAGCAGTTTCTACCTATTCTCTCTTCCATGTGTTTTATTTTCTTTTCTGTGTTAGACAGTATTTTCACTGACAGAGACTTGGGATTTTTGTATATAAGAAAACTGCCTCACTAGCATTTCATCTCTCCAGGTCTAAAAGGGAGAGAAAAATCAGAATCAGTGCATAAGTCTAATTTAGTTTAAGTCAGTCAGGACCGTACTGTAAATCTCTGTGCTTCAGGCCTAGTTAATTTTGGATAGGAACTTTGTATTTTGGAGAATTAAATAGCTCTTGATCTCTAGCTGGGAAAGTGGAACTATGTTTTGCTTTCCAGACTGAATTAAATTGGATAATGTTTCAGAACTCATGGTGTTCTAGGTCTAAGGAGAAATGGACTGTGTTCAGAGTGCAAAGATACAGTCAAAGGCTTTTTAGAGTTGCAGTCACACCTGAGATACAGTTGTTATTTTTATATATGTATGGACGGATACACAGAGAAACTAAACTGAATTATTTTATGATTTTAAAAATACCCAGGTACAAAATTTTGTAATTTATATTTAGCAAAATTGTAGATAGTTTATGAAAACCTGTATCCTGTACTAAACAACAAATAATGTTTCCAAGTAGTTGAAATAACTATGTCACCGATCAAGAATTACTATTCTTCTATAACAATACTCCTCTTCCAAAATCTGGTTTATTTAGTCCATTTATATTTTAAGTACTTTAGGGCAAGAGTCTTTACATACTTCTCTCAATACTGGCTAACAAAATATAGATTGATTTTGAATTATTGTGTTTCTTTCAGGGAAATTTTTAAGTGAATGGCAAACATTCTAAAAAAAATAATCATTCGTTGCATAATTGGAATATAGGGATGTAATTTCCAAGAACACTGAAATCATTTTGGGAAGCCAACTGAGGTGAATACCAAGAAAAGTCAGGTGTCCAGCTCCAAATGTATCCCTGAAAACCATATTTTAATTCAATTGATACACAGAGTAACTACAGTGCATCTATTGTGCTCTACCATGCAGTAAACAGCTCAATTAGAGTGCAAAATAAACTCATAATAAGTTACTCAAACGGCTGCAGGGGCAAGAGGGAGGAAAGGTTGTTCAGTATCTTTAAAAAATACAATTGTAGCTCTTGTGCAGTGTCTGGGATCCTGAGGTCACAGGAGACAGGACCATGGCCAAGACTTATTCCTGGCAAAGCTTCAGATCACTTGTGAAAAGAAAACACTCTGCTCTTCTGGGAAAACAAACCAAGCTACGTTTGTTCTCGACAGTGCCATGAATTCCTGAAGGGAAATTCAGATCTACATTCATGCTAATGACAAGAGCTCTTGCTCTAACTTGGCTTCAACTACTGCAGAAATCCAACTTCTAAAACCTTTCAGGGCAAGTTTTACTCATTGTTTACATCAACTTTGCAAGCTGTGCATACTCACCAATGATTGAAATAGGTTTCCTAGCAAAACGAAGCCTTCCCCATATTCCAACATATTTACTGCGGCATCCTGCTGACCATAGCCGAACCACATACTCTGTTCCAAAGAATACCACTAACACAATTTCCTAAAAGAAACAGACAGGGAACTAGGTTAATTCTCTACTGTACTTATGTCTTTCATCTCTTTTCAGAATGTATTAGGACATGCTAAATAAAACGTAAAATTAGGAAGGTGACAAATATGTCAACCATACCAAAGTGATCTAAAGTAATATCGAAAAACCTGTAAGAGTAAAGAAAGAAAATATTAAGAGCAAATTTAAATACTTTGATCACATGCAGTTTGGCTTGTCTACACGTACTAAAACTGAAAACTATTCTGTGCAATTCACTTGGTCTAAATCAAACAAAAGGTTTCCTGACTGAGCCAAAAAAAACAAGCACAGTCTGTATTTAGAAGATTTTTTTGCTAGCTTATTTCATTTTGGGAAGAGCTGTGCTTCACATTCCATTTACCAGATCAGTTTAACCACCTTATTTATACTTTTTCAGTCTTCCTTTAATCTCGCATGGATTGAAAAAAGATTTCTAGTACCCAGCACCAATATGTCAGTCTCCGTGTGCACTGAAAATATAGTGAGATTTCTAGAACACCTTTCCCATCCTCTTGCCAATGTTTAGGGACTTTATCAGAAACAGAGATCTTAGTCCTGAAGCATGGCTGGTATCAAGCTACTTGTAAACCACAAGCTAAGGTATGACTTCGGAAATGCCTGCAAAGTGATAGATGTCAAAGACATCTGATATTCTTGGTGATTAGACAAATCACCAAATAGGTTATGTCCTATTTGGAACATGGTCAATGTGCCGATAAACCTTGATTTTCTACAGACCAGATGAGCATGGCATACTCAGCATAGTTTCCCTGAGTATCAGGGAGCTGCAATACTTCCTTATTGGCTAACTCGATTAATAACTAGTCACATTCTCTACCAGAGCCAGCAACAAAATCTATTTATTGAAATGGTAAGAGTGGCCTGTAACTGAAAACACAAAACACATGGCATAAAGAAAGACTACAGCTGAGAAACCAATCTCAAAATATCACAGTTACATATGTTAATGCAGATTAAGAGAGTGAACTGCTTATTTCAAAGTGTGATTTCATACAAGGAGCAACTGCAGAGAAGACAATGTCCTGCTAAACATCTTGTCCAGCCCCCTCACGCTTCTGCAGGTTACACTGCTGGCGTAACAGATTTTCAAACGAGACTCAAGATGGTACCTAGAATTATTTTCTAAACTAACTGAAATAACCAGAACACAACCTTAGTCCAGTCAAGATGAATGGGAATCATATGATCAGCTTCAAAAATGCAGGGGACATTGCCCTGAATATTGAGCCCTAATTTGTTGAAGTTCAACTCTGTGACACTTTCAGAAAAGCTAGCAGAACATGAGCCAGGACTCTTTCCCTTGGTTTTGACAATCTCATAATCTATGCAAGCTGTCAGATGCAGTAGAACAGCTACCATAATTGTTTATAGCCACTTGTAATCAAGTTAGATTTTTAAGATATAATGAAACTATCCAGATCACTGATTGTAATAAACATGAAGCTCAGATCCTTTGACCCAGCCAAGAATCTCTTCTACAACTTTCTTCTGAAAGAATCCAACAGAACCTTTCACCTTTTTTTTTTCAATTGGATTATCATTAATTTTTTTAATAAAATAAAAACATAATGAACAACATAAATCTTAAGAAATAGCATCTGGAGCAGATCCTTTAAGGAAAGTCTGTGTCTTACAACAGAAGCTTCAAATGCAATGAAACTCTCCCTTTGTCCAGTCTAATGTCATTTATGAACCACCAGTGAATGGCAAAATTATGAGTTCTGCTTGATATGAGGTGCTGTTGAATTGTCACAGAAAATAAGCACCAGAGGCAATCTCTTCCGATCAAGTGATTGTATTCCTTTCACAGACCTGGTCAATAAACCCTAATATCCAAGTGCTCTTCTGTATGCAGACAGCTAGTACGTCTCCTTTCACCACCACTATGGAGGAAACGCTAACGTTAACAAAAGACAATACCAACCATATATGGAGCAAAAACTGTCCTTCATTCAAAATAACTCATCTGAGGAAGGGATGTATGGCTTCACATCACATATGTGATAGCACAGATACTGTTCAGATATCCCCAAAAGCAAAATAACAAGAAAAAATTATCTTGGTAGGCAAAGCAAAACCCAGAGAAAAGTTAAATGTTTTAGCACAATGGAACCACAAACAGCACTCTGACCAGGCACCACGGCCTTGTCAGGATCACAGTTTCAGTTTTATAGCACGAAGGTAGAAAGTGAAAGCCTGGATTGTGCTTTAAAGGAGCACGTATTCTCTGCGTAGGAAATTTGCATCGGAGTTGTGCGCGTATGTTTTTTAAAGGCCCTCCATGGTTCATTGGATGACAGGCACACCGGCAAGTATGCAAATGGGGGCTGTCCCAAAGACAATGCGACAGACACGCAGTCAATGGTTACTGTCATCCAGCTCTTTGCGTGACACGCAGACAAGCTTAGAGAACATTGATTGTCCTATAGACTCCGGTGACTGGAGGGAACGACCAGTCGGCTTACACCAAGACACATTTTTCACTCCTGACGTTTTGATAAAGGCTTATTGACCTAAATGAGACCCAAGTTATTCAGGGAACATCGGGGGTGAAAGTGCACGAGCTGTTCTTCATGGTCATACACAAAAACTCCAGGTATCCATTAGCAACTGGCAAATTCCCCCTCCCCTGCCCGTGGCTGTGTGACAGACAAAAGTGTTTTTAATATCTTGTGTTGCATAAAGCTAATAAGTAGTCTCCTGGGGATGGGGGAGGCTGATGAATTTCTGTCTGCACACGCTTACATTAGTGGTCAGAAACTTGCAGACAACAAGAAAAAAGTATATTAGAAAATTATGCCTTCCTGAGCTAATAAAATATTGCCTGTATTTTCCTAATTAACAGCTTACCATGAAGCCTACATACACCAGAAGGATGTCAACCTGATCCTTAGTTCACTTATGCTGGTGGCAATCAGTGCTAATTGAGCAGCAATACCTCAAAACTGAGAATTTCAGCGAATCTGAGCTGTACTACAGATTAATTTGGTCCACTGTTTCTTCAATATTTTCTCCTAATTGCCTGTCTAACACCTACCTACCAAGTGCACTGTATAAACCCTTGTGTTTCTTGCAATGAGTCAGCTAGAATGAAATGAGGTTTCAAAAAGCTGATATATGAAAACAGAAAGACGAAGTGTTGAGAGGACACAGCGGATGTAGAGAATGAGTGACATAAAAAACAAAGCAACATTTAGGACACGGGAAAATTAAAATACAGAGGAAAATAACTGCTTGCAAAACACTAGTGAGCATGGTAATCAAAGCTCAGTGAAGGGGTTTTCTTGGTTAAAATTATATACACACAGGAACTATACTGTCCAAGGACCCATTCAACCCTATGTAACTTAATTAAGATCTCCTTTGTAAAAGGTGAAACCAGAAACACAACACCGAGGTACAAAGAGCCCTCTAAGATATGACAGTCATGTACATAGATGGGCATACAGGGCCCATCTTACTTAATAGAAGATACTTTTTTTCCTTTTAATTATTGATTTGTACATGGTACCCTCACTTCCGCCATCCTTCCTGCTCAGCCAAGGCATATGCTTAGTGCCATTTTCAGGCCTCCTCAGCACATAATCCCAACACAGCCAAGTACCAGATTAACCCTGAATGAAAAGATAGAGAGGATGAACACGAAATACACATGCAGATCACTTTCTTGAAGAACTCTATCAGTGTCAGTATGTCTCCAGCCACCAACAACTTCTTGCATGTAAACACACAACCATTTCAATGAAAAGGAACAGGTAGACAAGATGAGTATAAAAGCTTTGGGCAGTTCTACTGAGGTACAGTGCTTGGTGAAACTACAATAGATCTCCAGGTAGCCATTTAGCAGATGCCAGGGAACGAACTATTTCTCATAAAGACCAGTAAAGGAGCTGGAGTCCTCACTTATGCATTGGTGCAGGAGTGGGGTCAGCATGTGGAATACACTTCAGAAGTCTCATGACGGATTTTTTTCAGTGCGTCTCACTACTAACTTCACAGTTCTAACATGGAAACAGAAGTTCCTTTGAGCTGATCAGGTACTACGTGAACAGCCCTGAAAATTGCTTCAAGTATAATGAAAGAGCCAGCAGAACCCCTAGCCCAAGAAAGATATGGCATAACTTAATCACCTGGCTACAGTACAGCTCTCATCATCTGATGAAGCCCCTTAGGCAGGATCACTAAAAACACAATTCCCTGACAAATATACCATATTATCTGTTATTACGGCCCATACCTCCACAGTTCCCAGAGTATTTTGCTAAAAAATGCATCATGAAAAGCCCTTCCTATACTACTCAACCTCCACTGGATTGGAAGAGCTACAATGCTGGGAGGCATCCAACATCTGCACTGTGAAATAAAGTACAGTAGCAACTCCAAAAGGAAGGACAGAGTCCTGAAACTTAGCTGAAGAGATGTTTTTAAGCAATTAGACAGATTAATAGCTTGAGGGAAGAAAAAAACCACAACAAAACTGACATTAAATGGATCATGATACCATAACAACAGCTATTTACAGATAAATTAATTGTCTCTGAAGGCTGAGAAAGCATCTGCATAGAGAATATATTGCCTAAGGCTCTGCCTGTAGACCCCAAAGCTGTAACTGATCATGGAGCATCACAGACATTCATGCAACTGTTTGATGTGGGAGGACTAGATGAGGTCATCTGAAATCTGTTATGAACAGGAATGCCTTTACTCCAAGTCTAGACTTTTTTGAATGAACTCCATAAAAGCAAGAGAGTAAAATACATATTTTAGCAGCAAGGAGGCAAAGCATACCACTATGTTGTTCTGATTGGCTGTTGAAGATGACATACAGTTTATTGCATTTGCCATAGAGGTGTCTGTCTTAAGAGGAAAGAAAAATGACAAGCACAGGAAAAAAAGAGGCATTGGTGAGAGGGACACTTTAAAGACACATAAACACATGCTTCTTGTAC